TCAAATCTCCGTTGAAGATTGATTGAAGTGTTCGGTCACAACTCACTAGCATTAGTGGAGGTTTAATCCGTGCTCGTGGACTTAGTAGAGGAATCACATATGGGGTTCTTGTTCTCCTTATTGTTCTTGCTCGATCACTTGTGGAATCACGCTTGAAAGGTATAATTCTTACTTCTTTATGTGTTATGTATGAGATCCTTGGTTTAGGTGCTTTATGAATATGATTCATGTCTGTTCCGCAATTTAGTACCTATAGTCTCCCACACAAGCATCCCATACTTGATCCCCACTGTAATCATACATTTAAGCATGGTGGCGTCCAAAGGGAAGGAAGATAGAGCAAAAGAGTCGCCAACCAATTTTAGGAGCTTGTAATTCGTTCACAGGGTGAAGGTTACACCTCTTCACGATCCATGAGATCGCTAACTCCATAATGGTCAGAAACCATGACTGGATATTCGGGGATGAAGGTACAAATCCAACATAAAAGAGACTGAACCAACCCTAAAGAGGCCTCTACTTTATTCTTCTCATACTCATGTGTGCTTCCGACTAACATACAATCAATATATTAATCCTAAACCTATTTGATCTATATTGGTTGAATATTAATGCATAAACAAATCTATTATTGGCGATCACTTGAATTAAAATCATATTATCCTAAATAAAAATTTTAATTATCTTATTAAGCATGATTTTAAGTACTAATTCCCTTTAAACCTGCAATAAAGGGTGTGATCAAGAAATAAAAATAATATCAAGCAACATAATAATATTGATACAAGAAATCATCATAATCAATATGATCTCAATCTCACCAAAACATAATAATATTAGCAAGATCCTAGACATGATACTAACAAGATTAATAACAAATCTTAGCATGTCACTAAACAATACAAATCAAAGCTTTAGCTCTAACATGATAGAATAAATAGGAAGCAACCTAATCATGATACTAGAAAGCAACAAATAACATCATAACATGAGACTAGGAATTAAAATAATATAAGCATGCTTTCTATAGAAATATAGCAAATTGAATCACTCACTTGGTTGCCTCGTATCTGTTTCTATCAAAACAATATACACATTAGTAGTTTCAATGAAAATACTAAACAATTAATTTAAATAATTGAAAACGGGATTTGGGACCAAACCCTCAGAAATTATCAACCTTTCACGTCTAGGACGAAAGCAACTTCGTGCTTAGCTAGGTGTGTCTAAGTCTCGTGATGGACGAATATTGTATTTTTAAAAAGGAAGGCTTAAAAAAAGGGAGAAAGAATAAGCTTCTAGCTTGTAAAGAGAGAAAGAATAAAATAGATGATGGTTTATGGTGATCAAGCTTGTTGATTAAAGTTAATGATCAAGAAAGTTGATGATTGAAAAAAGGGGTGATATGACCTCTATTTATAGAGAAAAAAGAGGGTCGAAGGATTAAGAAAAGAATCCGAAATCAATGATATGCAATTAGATTTGGCCAGGCTTAATTGTATGAGTTATGAAATATTGATTCGAGATTTGAAAGATGAGAATTGATATTTAAGCATAATTTCAATAGGAAGGTTAAATTAATTTATAAATGGTTAAGTCAAGATTCAAGAGATGCGATTTAATACCGGTAGATTAATTCTGTGATTGTAATACGTAGCGAAAACCTTTTATAATCTGATTAATTGATGCATTGATGCTTGATTATTATGTTTTACCCTGTAATATTATTTATTAGTGAACCTATACCCTAGGATTTTATTATTTGATTTTCTCCCTAATTTAATATCCATAGTTTAATTCTTTTACAACAACAATTTGATTACTTAATAATTTAGATTATTTAATTTAATTAGGAAGTGGTTCAACCCTACTTCCCTATCTGGTTTAGTTAGAAGACATAGAAATTACTTTTGATAAGGTGATACGACTTTAGTCTGTCAAAATCATTCCACTGTTTCTTGGCATTATCATAATGAGAGAGCATGGATTTTTCCTCCAGATCAATGGTGTTCATTAGCCAAGAAACAAGCATACCACTTTGTCACCCAATCATCCTTCGTACACGGCGAAACATAAGACATGATACTACCATCAAGAAACCCAAATTTCCTCCTAGAGGATAGAGCAATACGAATTGAGTGACACCAATCACTGAATTTCTCAAGTTTGAGACGCTGAGATGTGATGGAATCCCGGGCCGATCTTGCTGTCCAAGGCAGAATGGAGAATTACTCAATTTTTGGTGGTGGTGGAGGTGGTGTGTCACCTTCACCCATGAATTACAGTGGACCAAAAAAAAAGAAAAAAAAAAACCTAAGATCAGATACCATGTTAATTTTGTGTGAGCTTTATGACTTGATTTTCATTGATGAGTGTAGACACTTAAAAATGTCTCCCCAAAAAAAAAAACCCGATGATGAACAACATTTCACCGCAATTATTAATCCATGTTTCCATTCAATACATTTCATAAACCAATCCATTTCCTAGCTCATTTCCCTAAACCATAACTTGTTTTCCACTTTTCGTATCCACATCGCAAAATCGAGAGAAACTGATTTTGTTGCTCAATAATTTTGATCCAATTATTATTTTGTTAGATAGGACTTGAAATAAACTTTCCAAAATATATCATAAACCCAATTCCGATTTAAAACGAAGAAGATATGAGCCAAACACTAAACTCGGCCCAAAACCGACACCCTTCTACTAAAACGGCCATATTTTAAAATATAAAAATGATTTTGACCTGATTCTAATTGGGTTGGAAAGAAGACTTGATAATCTTTCTAATGATATATTATATGCCTTATTCCGGGTTACGGATCAAAAGTTATCGCAATTTTAAAAATGCATAAAAAAAACTGGAATCGTCGCGCAAGCAATAAAACCACCGCGTTGCGGGGGATAGTGACGTGGCATGAGGTTGGATACCGTGTCACGGCACTCTGTACCGTGTCGCGGTACACATACCATGACACAGTGCTTTTCCGCGTCAATCCCACGTGACTTTTTCATCGTGAGACGGTATACTGTACCGTGCCACGGTGGACTTTGCCGCGTCACGGTACACATACCGTGACACGGGGCAGCTCCGTGTCCTTTCCGCGTAAACCCTTCAAGCGTTTTATCTCCCGTAGCCTAATTATTTCTCGCGTCAAACAATATTTCCCGTGTCGAGGGATTTTCTACCATGTCGCGACAATTTTCTGTTGTGCCGCGACATGCTTTGCCGTGTCTCGGCATTATTTTTTAGGGTTTTTATCTTTTTAGGGTTCCGTGTGTTCCCTTTGCTCATTTTCCCTATAAATACCCCCTTCTTTCTGCAGTTGGTGGCATCAAATAATTCTCTATTCCTCTCTTTTACACCAAAAATCATTCTTTTCTCTCTCTCTCTCTCACATTCTAAGCCTTAAACCTATAATCCTAATTACACCATTCTTCCCTTAAGCACTCCAAGGAGTCTATACTAAACCCGAGGTTCCGTTCTTAAACCAAGGCGTGAAAGGTATAAATAACTGAGGGTTTGGACCAAATCAAATCTACATTTATTTAATTTAATTTTCATTTGATTTATATTTTTATTGAAGTTACTAACAATTTATTCATGATGTAGCAATTTAAAGGAACGCGCAGAATGTGAGTAATTAATTAATTTAATAATTTATTTTATTTTTAATATTTCTAGTATCATGATTATGTTTATTTATATTTGATTTGACTCACGATATTATTGTTAAATTGCTTCCAATATTAATGTTTATTCTATTATATTTTTTATGATCACCATATTGCATGTTTAAAAGGAATATGTAATTGAAAATCACGCCTAATAAGATAATTTGGACAACCGATTTAGGTTCCTTTTTAATCTTATTATTAATTCAAGTGATCACAAATATTTTAGAATTATGTGTTGCATTAACATTCAACCAATTTAGCTTAATGATAGTTTGGAGCAAATTGAATATTCGTTTTCATGCCTTTGAGATCGCAGGAATCATTTTTCAATATAAGAATTGAGTAGATCCCAATACGGGCGAATGTGACTCCATGACTCACTTCGTAGCATCATCCCCGATCCTCCTTTCGTGGTTCTGAACCATATGGAGTTAGTAATCTCATGGATTATGAATGGGGTGTAACCTTCACGGGTCAATCGTTGTTGTTTTCGTTGTCCCTTAATTCGTGGTTGCCTTTTATGATCCGTGAACGGTTTACAAGTTCCTTAAAAACTTGTTGGCGGCTCCCTACTTTCCTTGTCCCTAATTGTATGTCAATTCCCACTTCATATGAGTATCAAGCATATTCACAACATGTTTTTAACGTGGGCACACTTCAAACGACGCCTACAATGAGCAATACTGTACATAAAAGCATACAAAAAGCTAACCCTAGGACCACCACAATATTAGTGACTCTAGGAATTAGGAAACTTATCAAAAGATAACCATAAAACTATTCTATCAAATATTGTCCAAATCTCCTAAGTATATTCTCAATACACGTATAATGTTTTTTTTTTCAGTAATCTATTCATAAGGCTACTTGTCATCCAAAGTTCCAAACTTGGTAGAAGAAACACGTATCAAATTAGATGTTTTTTTTTTTTGGAATAAAAGTTCAGATTATTAGATAATAATCGAAAGTAAAGCTGAGATTATTCAAAGTTAATCTCTTTAATTATAGGTTATTAAAGTGAATTTTTCCTACTTTCTCTTCCTTTTTCCTTTTTTTTTTTTTAAGAGTAAGGGGAAAAGTTTAGATTACTAGATAATAATCGAAAGTAAAATTGAGATTAATCAAAGTTAATCTCTCAAAGTTGAGATTATTAAAGTGAATTTTTCCTACTTTCTTCTCTCTCTCTCTTTTCTTTTTTTTTTTCTTTTTTTTTTCTTTTTTGTGTGTGTGTGTGGGTGGTGGGTGGAGGGGAGGGAGACGGGGGGGGGGGGGGGAGAGGCAACAATTGTTAAAATAAAAAAAGAACGAAAATTTGTTGAATTATGCTACAATTGCCTCAAAAGCAAAAAATATATATATTGGTGAGTCGGGCATCGGCATTATGCCTTGAGACTACCAAATCCTGCAATGTGATAACTTTCTATTCAACTAAAATCTTTCTTGAAATCCCCAGATTTCTGTGAATTTTCAATTACACTATATTCAGAAGTAACAAAAAAGTATCGCTGTTAAAAAAAAAAATAAAAAATAAAAAATAAAAAAAATCAACGGTTCTGAAGCCCTTCAATGGCTTTCTTCCACTGCCACGCTCTCTGCTTGGGATCTTCAAATGACATAACCTTCTTGGGCTGAAACAAAAAAAAGAAGGAAAAAATGACGAGCAATGTATGTGAATGTCAAGTGTAAAAGAACAATGTAGTTGATTAAATATAAAAATGGGGAAGAGTGCTACATAATAGGGCATAAGGACTTCAAATAACATGAATCAGATTAATCCTTTGAAGAACAAACTTATTCATGTACATTGCACATCCCCAAATTTGATACAAGAAACACTCACAGTGCATATCTTAAAGTGAGAGGGACTAGAAACTTGGACATTAAGATCATTCTGATTATCAGACCAAATTATGTTCCCCTTCACTACCAGTTTTGACGGGTCCACGTAGATCAACTTTGGTTTGTTGGTAAGAATAAGCTGCACCTTCTTGCTAGACAACTTCTGCATTTTCTTCACCATAGAGATCATGAGAACAGATTCACCAGGTTCCAAGAATTGTTGCCTGTCAATACAAGCGTACTATGAAATTAAAGCAGCTTAAACAAAACAGTCTGATTGCATGGCAACTTTAGCAAGCTAGAGATACTAGAAACAAGATAGCAAGGACTCAGATAAATCAAACCAGAGTCCACAAGTAAAAGAAAAGGAACAATTGTGTGCACAAAAGAGTTCCCACCATTTTGAATCGAAAGAGTCAATTGATGCAAGCCTTGTTACGTGACCCGCTCCTTCTGTAAATGATGAGGTACCACCATTCACATCAATTTGCTTTACAGCACTATCTCCAATATGTGTGCAATTCCAAGGATCCTGTGAATTGTCGACACCGCCATAATTACCCTACATGGTGCAAAGAGAAATCATCGAGTAAGGAAACTCTGGCAGAACATCAACAGCCAAAAAGATTGGAAACTGAATGGTGATGAGGAATGTTACCGTAGGTTCCCTGACAAGTTTTGGAGAGGGAATGTCTCTCAAGTTAGCCCAGTCAACTCCACGGAAAAAAGGATGATTTTTTAATGCAGCATATCCCTCTGGTCCAGCACCAGGTCTTTTGCTAGGATCTACGGACTGCAAATTAACACCATCAAGAACATATATATAGAGATCCATACATTTATACGGAAGCTATGAGCCTATGAGCAGTTTGCATATTAATCCCTCTGCCCCTTTCCAAATCCCAACTTGGCAATATTTAAGAGCATAACTTAAGCCACTTTCATTCTTACTATTCATTTCTTCACAAAACAATCCTCTTAGTGATATTAAAATAAAAATTAGAAAATCATTGATTTTTTATGTTTTAATGCCAGAAATAATAGACTATAACGAACACAATTACTTGTCCTATAACAAACAAATATTGCTGATAGCTTCCTCCCACTTGCATAGCCATAGGCTAGAGCTCTAAAAGTAAGAGATAAAAAGTTTCGTATGGAACATAAATTAAACGAATATAATCCCTGCATTCCTGATGCGAGAGCATCCATAAAGTCCAAGAATTGAATAAGGTTTGAACTGGCTTTAAAATAGTTTATTTTGTCCAGAACACCTATTTGGATGACTCCTACAGTCCTATTACATGACATGGCTTAGGTGAATAAAGATTATCCTTGTGTCTTGAGATTCATTTGATGGTTGGACATAGAATAGAAAGGAAAACAAAATGTATGTGCTTCTTAGTGAATGGGACAACTTAGGACTGCAATATCTTCTTTGTTACAAAACAATTTAAGTTGATTCTACATGGTGATGAAAGTTAAGATCAAGAGCATTCCATAAATAGGTCATTAGCCTATTTTGAGCATCAGATGAAGAAGTTTTGAAATTTTCAAGTTGAACAGCTGAAACTGCAAGTGGTGCGACCAGTCGTGCAGATTAGCAGGCTTGTGCAAAATGAGCAAATTTCCATTTCACATGTTGTACAACCACTCGTGCAAAACTTGCACGGTCATGCAACATAGGAACAGATTCAATGATACAGGAGCACGACTTCCATGAACACTTGTGCAAAACTTGCACAGCATGCAACTTAACAGAAACATATATATACTGTTTTAAAATGAAATAATCTTAATCTTTCATTTTGTAATCTACGGGTCCATAAAAGAAGATTCTTAGGGAACCCTAGAGTAGTAGTAGTCACCCTATATATAGGGAAAACTGGAGAAGAAAGCTTGTATGAAACCTTCTGATTATTTATGAAATGATCGAGATTTTTTTCTCTCCTACTGCATCTACATTCATCGTTTATTTGTGGGAAACAACTTAATTTATGTAATTAATCAATTTTTAACCTAATTATTTAAGAGATTAGTTAAGATAACCTTGTACTCGTCAAAGTTGATAATTGTGGAGACAAGTTTTACACTTTTTTTTATTTATTAACACTTTGTTTGAATAACAAAAAAGGAAGGAAAAGAGGGGGAGGGAAAGAGGAAGGAAAAGGTAAGCCCCATTGTCCCTCCAAATCTCCTCCGATTTTGGAGGGATTACGCTTATAAAGAGAGGATCCCTCCCTCTCCTTCCCCTTCCTTCCCCCAATCTTTTACCCTAAGAAAAGAAATTTCTCCCTTTTTCTTCTCGTCTTTTCTTTCCATTTTCTTCTTTCCAAACAAAGTGTAATTCATTGGTTTTCTTTAAAACCAAAAATCTAAGGAAGGTGGTAAATTGTATGAAATTTGAAGTCTTGGTGATTACCTCACATCAAATCATAAATGCATAACGTAGTAATTTATACATGGCAACTTATTACAATTTTTAATGTCTCTCACTAAGATATAAAATGCACCATTTTTTTCATGCTTGCCAATGTAATAATTTGGTCCTTAGTATCTTTAACTATACATTAGTAACAATTATAAAAAAAAAAAAAAAAAAAACTTGATATTTGAAAAGTAGATATAGAGACGAATCTAACTAGAACCCATACAAATAGTCGGTCAAAGGCGATTGTGTGAATAGTACAAAAGCCCAAACTAAACCTAGTACAAACACACTCTCCCCCTAATTTTCTCTCTTTACCCTTATACCCTAACCTTAGCGGCTACTGGACGAATATCTACACCAGCTAGCATTCCTAGCAGTGACTTCTCTCAACCGCGACAATCATCCTTAGCTAGCAGCGAGAGGTTGATGTTGTTGTTTCCGCCCCGATAGATTGCCGATGATGGTGGGGCGACTCCATCTTCCTCTTTGATAGTTATGAACTTATTTATAAGATTAGCCTAATTATAAAGCTCAACTTATTGTATAAAGATAATTTTGCTAAGCAATTATCAATTATAAGATCTGCATTAAAAATTGTCTATGAATTAATGTTCATTTCTACTTTGAATTGTACCGTTTAGAGGTATATTAGTTGTACCGTACACTCATTACTTTGAATTTTATACTTTATGAATATAAATTGGTTATTTTTATAAATGTGTAGCAGATTACTCAGTATATTTTTGGAGTTATTTGTTTGATTATTGAAATCTATAGTATAGTAACAAAGGTAGCATGAATATAAAACCTCTCACACAGGAATAAAAATGATGACAAACCCCCCTTATGCTATTTAACCAACAAAAAAGGTTTAGACAAAGTAGAGAGCATCAATAACAAAAAGAAACAGGGGCCATATGTTCTGTAAAAAGAGAAAGACTGGATGATTTACTCCATACAGATTGGCATAATATTCCAAAATAATGCTTTGGTAGAACTTTTGACGTACATAGAGAGAAGTTAGCTTTCTTGTTTCACATCATTCTATCCTTATCCAAGCAATTGTCATTACCCTTGACGTTTCACAGAGATAAAATGTATGAGTAGTGGCTAACACCATCATGAAAGAGCAATATTTCCGTGACTGATGTTGATCTAGCATAAATTAGTATTATCATAGAAAAAATGGCTGCTTTATGCTTTCCTTGGTTTTCATGCTACTGCAAGCTTTATGTGGCTGGTGAATTGTATAGGTTTCTCTGTGATACAAAATGGATTTTGGGGTATCTATGAGTTATGTATTGATTGATTGCAGAAGCCCGTTATAGTTTAAATTGGCTCAGAGTTGGTGCCAGCCGACCAAGGAGATATAGGTTTTGTCAGAGAGAAGATGGTAAAGTGAAAAGTGGAAGGGGCTTGAACTGAAGAAGATATAGGCATACAACTAGTTATTGACCGGGGCGATGCCCCCGATCATCATAAATTATAAGTTTGATTAAATTAATTTAGAAAAGTTAATGTTGAACAATATTAATAACTAAATGAAAATGTAATAAGAGGTCAATATGAAAAAAATTTCAATTAAATTAAACACAATTATATAGCATTAAAGTTAAATCAATGAAGAGTTTTTGTTAAAAAGACTCAACATTAATACAATTTAATATGGTGAAAGAGGAGGGATGACACATAGGATGACATGCAGTGCACATAAGGCATATGGGTGACACATGTTGTTAGCATGTTGTTCCCATGAGTTTTAATAATATTATAGATATGCAAAATGTATCTATGAATCGAATCTTCAGAAATATATCTGTTTGATCTTCAAGTGGACAAATTATAAATTATATCATTATTCACAAATGAAACAGTTAGCATAGAGGTTATCCTATTTAATTGACACATGCTATGTAGTCTTCTTCTTTCTGTTTATTATGGGAATATGAATCAAGTAGTCTTAACTCTTAACAAAAGGATAAAAATAATACGTAGTAATACAATTTAATGTTAATACGTCTACTATGACAAGGGCTTTTGGTTGGGGGTTAAATTGAAATAAATTCCTACAATTTATTGAGGGTCATTGCTCAAATTTGCATCCTTAAGAATGAATAAGATTAATTTGAAATCTTTATTTATTTTTTTTATTTAGTGACTCAGATCTCCTCTTCTCTCGCCTCAAAACATAAAGCATCCCAAGCACTGCGCCTTGTGCCCTGGTAAAGGAGAACTGAAGCGCACACCTTCTGTATGGGGTTGCATGTTACAGTGCAGAGTGCTCCTAGGTGAGCCTTGTGCCTAGGCATGTCTAGGGTCATTTTGTAAAAACAAGCTCACATACAACATGACAAACACCCAAGTGTTGAGTCTATGCAATAATTCATGGACACAAGAATCATGGTGTTTACTTCTTTGTACTGGCTCACGTGATGCGAGTACATTTATCTAGTGATATTATATTCACCATGGTACAATATCCATTAGCTTGAAAAGGAAAGGTGTATTACTTTGGGATTATTGACTTACTAGGTGCTAGTTATAGTCTCAAAATTTATTACACCCAATATTAAGCTTCCACAGCAGGTGCAACATGAGCCATGCCCTCACATTCACAAATGCCCTCTCAATTGAGTGGGAAAAGTTTTACCCTACAGTGGAGAAGCTCTAGAACACATTTAGGGACATAAACCAAGCTTTTAAGTAGCTCAGAACCTTGAGCGCAAGCTCATAATTAAAAAATGTGATCATGCTAGATGCTACATTCTAGGCTAAGTAAAATTGAGATGCTGCATTCTAAGCAATGAGAAAATTAAAATTGAGATCCATTCCCAATATTTGATCTAGGCTAACTAATTTTTGCTCAGTCTCTATAGTGATACCTTATCAGCTCAGACCAATCTATAACTTAAAGTTATCTAGAAACATAATATAGATCCACATGCAAAAACAAACTAATTGATAACGGCCTTACCAATAAACGATCAATGAGGTCCTTCGCCTCCTCTGAAAAATAATCTGGAAGCTTAAGCTCTCTTGCGATAATTTTTTGGAAAATCAACCACTCACTTGCATCTTTGAATGGAGATGTCCCTGAAAGCATCTGATACAAGGTGCAACCAAGCGCCCAAAGATCGTTTCTGTTTCAGGAAAGGAACAAACTGCATGAAAATCGATAACAGAAATGAATCAACAAAGATTTAAATTGTTGACACATGGGAAAACAATTGATATATTTGATAGATGGCTCTTTTTACAAGGAAACCAACAGTTGCAAGAAGTTGCTTCTAAGTCCATTCCACAAACTTGCTTTTCCCTTGTTCATCAACATGTTATCCACATACCCAAATGTTGCAGGTGAAGAATTTAGGACTTCTGGAGGGACATATGCGGCCGTTCCCACAAAAGTGCAAGCTTTGTCATCTGGTTTATTCATAAAAGAACAAAATTTAGCCTATGACCAAACTTAACTATCCAAAATCTACAATAGATGTACCTGATGCAGCATTTGGAAGGACTGTTATGCTGCTATCTTGCATAGGTTTCACACTGCCAAAATCAGCAATCTTAATGTGACCATCTGAGGTAAGCAGCAAGTTCTCTGGCTGCAAAATATAAGAACATTAATGAAGTAAACATTACACGGAATTATATCTATACACTTGGAAAGCATTGAGAAAATCAGCTAGCCAAGAGTTTACCTTAATGTCACGATGTATCAAACCCAAACCATGTATATACTCCAGTGCGTCCACAACTTCTGCAGCATAAAAGCGAGCTTCAGCCTCGGACAAACGACCTTTCTGCATACAGTGATATTAATCACATACGAGAGACATTTACAAATACAGAGTAATTCATTGATGCGAAAAAAGCATATTAACATATTTTACCCAAACTTATAACTGTGGCAGATTACAGTTGAAATTAATGTCAGGACGTGGGAAGTAACAAAAGCTTCAGTAATTACAAACATCAATGGTACTCTTATAGTCATAATAATGTTAATTTCCAATTACGAAATCATTACAAATTTACTGTAATTTCTACTACTGGAATTGAATTATTATAGTACTCTTGCTGCATTATATGATTATAGTGACTGTAATCCTTTCTGCATATATGTTTCAAATTAACTATTCTAACTGATTAGGTTCTCAGAATCTCAGATTCGCACAACGAATGAAGTGGCAAGTGTTGGAGAGCACCCCCATTTCAAGCTAACCTAACTCTTCCCGGGAATACTTCACCAAGAAAAAAACAAAATGAAGAAAAAAAAAAGTTTATACCTCTATTAATTTAATGCCTGTCATTTAGTCCATAAAGAATTATCTCTGCAATTTTCTAAATTTGTGACACAATTAAAGGGAAGTAACGAATTAATACAAGTTAAAATTAAAGAGTTGTTTGGCTTCCTTTTTTTTATTTTGAAGCCAAAATATGTAAATATCAAAGGTAACTCTCCCCACCACACCCCCCCCACCCATAACCGCCCTCCTCCTAATCAGAAAGCTAGAATCACGAAGTTAAATAAATTGGGGTAAAATTATAATATTTCTTTGGCAAATATGGAATATAAATAACTTTGGGAAAAATTGCCACCATTAATCCCAACTTCCCCCACCCCCGAAAAGGCGAAAACCCCTCCCTTACTGCCGGAAACCGTCGCCCAGCCCTCCCCTTCCCTCGAAACTCACCCCTTCCCTTCCCCCACCCCCAAAAACCCCTCCCCCGAAAACCGCCACCCAGCCCTCCCCCTTCCCTTGAAACCCACCCCTTCCCTTCCCCTACCACCAAAAACCGCCACCCAGCCCTCCCCCTTCCCTCGAAACCCACCCCTTCCCTTCCCCCACCCCCAAAAACCCCTCTCCCGCTGCCGGAAAACACGCCCAGTCCTCCCCCTTCCCTCGAATCCCACCCCTTCCTCTTCCCCCACCCTCAATTTTGCCCCCTCCCCCCCCTTCCCCGACAATCAGCCACGAAAACCTACTATGTTGGTGGTTTCGAGGGTCGGGGATGGGTGGTGGAGGATGGTCGGAGGTTTTTGGTGGAAGTCGGAGGTTGGCCGATGGACTTGAGGGTTGGGGTTAGGGTTCCGACGGGATTGAGGGTGGTGGTGGTGGTGGTGGAAGTGGTTGTGGTTTTTAAAAAAAAAAATTGTTTTTTTTTTTATTTTAACCAATCAGGTTGCGACACGTGTGCAACTAATCACAAGTCAGCAAAATTTACCAGTTCAACCGGTTTCAAGTCATTTGGGTGCAATAGAAATTAATAGGGTATAAAGTTGGGATTGATAGTGAATAATCGAAAGTAGGGATTATTATTGGCGGACGAGGCAAAGTTGGGATTATTCAGGGCAATTTTTCCATAATTTTATGGAGCGAGGTGAAATGTAGAATAGGAAGAAACTAATGAAAAAGGCGTAGTGTAACCCATATCACATAAACAGTGAGAAAAAATAAAAAGTTGATCTGACATTTAGCGAAGATAGATTGTACAGACATTACTGTTTTCTTGATCAATTTGTAAGTGTATTTGGTTATCTCTTGAAATAAGAGAATTTCTTGAAAAACCCAAGATAGTAATTGAGCAGAATATCATATTCATATACTTACCCTGGTTATCTGGTCAAAAAGCTCCCCACCTTCACATGATTCAAGAGCCATATCTTCATCACCAAGAAACAAGTTTAACAAAGATTTGAAAAAAAAAAAGAGAGAGAGAAAGGGCCACATTACTGAAAGATAATGAATAGACAAAAATACCCTACATAAAGAAAAAGTATCCTGAAAAGTAAAGAATAGTCGCACAATGCCAGGATGATCTAATTGATCAAGAACTATTCTTTCCAACTTCACATAAGAAGTTTTATTTTCCTTAGTGATGAACTTCTTATCCATAATCTTCAAGGCATAGATAACCCCTGTATCTTTCTTCCTTGCCCGCACCACCTGCAAATCCATGTATGAATTAGAAACAGCACACAAATTAGTGAGAAAAAATTCTAATCGAGGAAGCATGTAAGCACGTAAAGACTGCCAAGATACATCCATCCTATAATTTACAAGATAAAAACTTGAAAAAAAAAAATCCCTCTAACAAGTGCAAAATCCTGAACGTCCAACCAAATATTCAGGAAAAAAACTCTCTTATAGCCTGACTCATACGGCAGGAGTTGTCCGGGTTCCCACTATGATCCTTTACAACTAATGCAATACACCAAAGCCACCAAAGAGAGAAAAACACAACCCACTTACAACACTTTATCCGACAAAAAGAGTAGAAACGTGCACACATACACGCACACAATTGACTATAGCACTAAGAAGAAAATTAAACCAGTAGTTATCGTCATGAATTTTCAAATTTTGATTTCCTGCAAACAAACTTTTAGTCTGTCTTCTAAAATTTAAAAAACGTCTTAATTCAACTTCATCCAAGTCACTTCAAGAATGAAGTTAGAGCCTAAGCCCACATTTTACTATACTTCAACCATAAAACCCATCATCCAATGTCACGTATACACTGCCCACCAAAATTGATGAAGTATTCTTGTGATTTTGGACAAAAGTTTTCTAAGAAAATGAAACTCTACAAAAGGTTATTAAGTTAGAATTCTTCAGGATAGAAAGAGATTTTACAGAGTGGTTGTTAAGAATGTAATTTGAATTAAGGGCAAACATATCAAAAAATTTTAAGTCTAGTCTCTTAAAATACAGGTTTCAGGGGGGATTGGGAGAAGTTGGTATATAATGGGAAGAGTAAGAACATGAAAGAGAAGAAGTCTTCATTGGAATTTTAAGTTATTCATAAAATGTACCTCAATCTCCTCCATCAAAGTGTTCACACAGTTTGAAAAAGAAAATTAAGATTCTCAATCTTCAATTTCACACAAAGCTTGATGAAGAATGATGCTATAACAAAGATTAATATGCCTACTGAAGTTAACTTGAAACTTTCATAACTTTTCATTGTTGCTCAAATCGGACTTATGATCTATCAACTGAAAGCTCTAGAACTCAAATTTCATCTATTAGTGGAATGAACTTGAAATAATTTGTAGCAACAAGCAAAGAAGATATTGTTGCCCAAACTTGACCATCCATTAACAACTAAGCACATTAACATTGATTTCACCCTTGCTCTTGTCGAGACACATAAGTAACCTAGATACACTTAAGCTAACCCGTAAAATGGGATAATCATCCAAATATTGGTGTTGGGAAATAAATAACACCATTCAAAACTAGGTAATTTATCTAAATTCAACCTACGAGCTTCATGGATGCTTCCGCAACAAATACCCTAAGAGATCAATACTAAACCATACAGCCTCTAAGTTGCGAGTTCCCATACAAAGAAAGGTATGCCGTGTACCTAAGTTGTGCCGGTGCAATGAAGTGCCTTTTTCATACTAGGTGGGGCAATTTCAACCCGAGGTAGTGTGCTTTACTTCAATGAGCCACATTAACATAGCTGAAACATTTTACTTGTAAAATTATCCAATATGCCTTCAAAGTTGGAACACAATTACAGGAAAGAACCCACTTCTTTTCAGTATTTCTCTTACTTGCATTGGGACCACTTTACTTACTTCTTTCCAAATATAAAGAGCCTCACTCGAACCCCTCAAAAAGCAATGGCCAACTTCCCATTAAATATGACAAATAAAGACACCATTATCAACTAACACACAATCAAATATGAAGGTTGTTTTGCATAAAATACTGCACTGAAACTGATGAATGATTCTACTTTGACTAACGTGACTAATCTATGACGGAAAGAGTACTATAAATTGGATCTTCAACTAATGAATGATTGTCATAACAAATTTTAAGATTTTAAAAGGCAGAATTAGCATTGTAAAATTGTCATAACAAGTCATGTCCAAATTTAAAGATTTTACTTTTTAGGTGTATCGTGAATTTTAGTCCTTAAATAATAACATCCTGGAGGAACACAAAGTTACAGAATTAGCAACAAAATTAAACCATTGTCAACCAGAGAGGTTCACTTTAATATTTAGAGTGTTGTTGGTACATCGCATCCTTGCCCCTTTCCAAAAACAAATAAGGAAAGAATTTTCTGTTCAATTGGGTTTTGCTAAGTGGTCTAAATCACATACACAATCATATGGAGGCAAGTGATGAAACTCTATTGCAATATGGAAAGCCCAAAGCAAATTAATACGAGGTAAAAAAATAAAGAAGTGACCATTCACAAAATTTGTACATTACTCGTACAAGTACCAATGTAGCATAGAATAATACATCTAGCCAAGGTTTCCTTTTAATGAGATCACTACAAAGTCATTGCTTCTATCCTAAACATACGCTAGCTACCTCTGCAAACTGGATATACACGAGTCTCCTTACCGCCTCAAATAACCTCGTCGCATAAAATCCCTTCAAAATTGAATAGAATACCACATTCGCCAATCACCAAATGATCCCTTAAGTTTTAGATGCATTTTGAAACCATGGACAATCATCGATTATTTAAACAAAGAGAAGCACAATTACAAGTAACTATTACTACATTAACCATCCAGAAGCTTGCATGCAAAATGATTTCTATCCATCATATCACCCATAAACTTTTCCAATTTTATGAGCCAAGAGTCTCTAATCAAATAGCTCATACAACTAGCAACCCTTCCCAAATGCCAAGGCATGTAATATGCACATTTTAGGAAAAGTCACTGGAAATCATCAAAATTTTATATATATATATATATATATATATATATATATATATATATATATATATATATATATATATATATACATGAAATAATCAATTGAAAGCAATAAAATAACCCAAAAATAAAAATTAAAAATAAGAACCATAACCTTAGAATATGAACCAACACCATAGATCTTCCCTAATTCAAAATCTTCAACGGTGAAATTCTCCTGAGGAGCCCTAAATTGAAAGCTTTTACTTCTTTGAACACCGCCAAGACCACCTCCGGCAGCGCCTCGGCCGCCATTATTGGATGAATCATCTTGAATCCTCAACTTTGAATCAAATTCCTGCTCCATTATCGCACCTTCTCCTCCGACTACTGCCAACATCTCTCTTTCTCTCTCCTCCTTTAAAATAGCTCACATTCTCAGTTTCTCACCATTCCATAAAAACTTCAAGGAAAAAATAAAGGAAAGAAAAGAAAAACAAAAGCGAAAAAAAAAAGGAAATACCACTGAATCTTGTGTCTTCTGAAAACTTTATTAACAGCTTTATTTATTTATATTTATCTTCCTTTACTTTCGTTCATTTTGAAAATATATATCACCTCTAGCACTGTCAAAAACCGAACCGAACCGGTGAAACCGAACCGATTCAAACCGATCCGAATGAGAACCGAACCGATTAAAAACCGATTTTTTGAAACCAAAGACCGACCCGAACCGCATTTTAGTAAACCCGAAACCGAACCGATCCGAGTAATGTTAAACCGTTTTAGAACCGAACCAAATCTAAACCGAACTGGAAAGGAAACCGAACCGAAAATAAACCGAACCGTTTCTAACCCGAAACCGTTTAAACTGGCATAAAAACCGTTATAAACCGAACCGTTATAAACCGAACCGTTTACAAACCGAACCGTTTACAAACCGAACCGTTTACAAATCGAACCGTTTATAAACCGGACCGTTTATAAACTGAACCATTTATAAACCGAACTGTTTATGAACCGAATCCTTATAAATCGAACCGTTTACAAACTACTTACTACTAGGAGTGGTTATTGGGTGGGTCAGTGTGGGTCGATGCAGATCATTTACGAAGTGAGTCGGTTGCAGGTCAAGATGAATATTTAGCGGGACATAAATAATAACCAATAACTCGAGATAAAAAAAGGAACAACATATCAATATGTAATGTGACTAAAACTATTAATACTTGTTCTATGAGATTAAAACATTTTAGCAATGAAGCAACACAATATATATTAAGCATCACTAGTTCACTACAATACAACATCCATGTCTTCTTAATTAGATGCAAAACTTTCATCTATCACTTCTTTACCAATTTCAAGGACGTCTTCTTCAATATCACAATCATAACCACGTAACCAATTTTGTGTGGTCACCAACGCCTCAACATTCTTAGGCAAAAGCGCACTCCTATACTTGTTTAAAATACGACCACCCATGCTAAAAGAAGACTCTGAGGCTACCGATGTAATAGGAATGGCCAAAACATCCCTAGCCATAACAGCTAATATGGGGTACACACTACTTTGAGATTCCCAATACTTAAGAACATCGTACTTCTGCCCTTCATAAATTGGTTGTCGAGGAGTACACAAATAAGAATCAATCTCCATCGATGGCCGATTTGATGTGTCATCCTCCTCATCATCATCATTATCAACATACTAGAAAAGTTCAAACAAAATGCTTTTATTAAATAATAAAATTAAAACATAAAATTATTAATTTTGTAAACCACAATAATCAGAAATTGATTACCTTGAATATATCATCATCCAAGTGACTATTTGAATTTTCGGTAACAGCTGGGATGGAGGGTGGAGCATTTGTACTTGATGTAAAACCGGAAGACAAAGAAGAATAAAAGTTATACAACTCCAAAAGAGCATCTTTAATCACCTTCGCCTTTTCAACACATGCCTCATCAACATAAAGCACTTTTAACATCTTCATCACTCGAACAAGCTTATAACGAGGATCAAGAACAATAGCAATTGATAGGATCAAACTATATTCATCCCAATAGCCCTCAAACTTTTCAAGCATAACTTTTGCCATGGGTGCAAGTTTAGGATCTATATGGGCTTTACTTATTGTGTGCTCAATTTTTAAAACACTAGCAAAATACAAATTTGCTGAAAAAACAAAAACACAACAGTATAAATCAAGTGGAAAAAAAAGGCAAATTAAGGGCAAATAAAAAAAAATAGGCAAATTAACACAGCAGCTCCGGACCTGCTTGCTTCAAGCAAAGCACACCAGCAACCTAGCCCAGCAACAGACAGACAACACAGCCCAGCTAACACAAGACGACAGCAAAACCACAGCTACAATACCCTAGAAAACCAGCAGCAACCAACCCCAGCACCCAGCCTGCAGCAGAGACATCAACTAGGACAGCACAAACCATGGCCAGAAAGACTCTGCTCTGAACAGGGCAGAAAACACCCAGCAGATCCTACAATCTAGCCTTGTACATCTAGCAGATCTGGCCAGACATTAGAACAGCAGCAGCACAGGACAGACCCTAGCTAGTACTACATGCTCTAAGCTGAGGTAGTCCATCTACAATTCAGTCCTAAAATATACTAAACACTATTAGACAACTCCTATCTGAATGCACTTGCACTTTTGCAATAAAACAAAACCCAAACTTAAATCAAAAAATCCTGCTAGCATTCAGCATTAACCCACATAAACAGAAACACTAATGAGAGAACAATGCAGCTGATAGAACAAAGGATAGCATTCAATATATTTGAAGACTAATAGAGCATTATAGACAAAGCCATACATTTTAAATGCTCAACAAACAGCAAACAGTCACAAAGGCAGACCAGCAACAACACAGCAGCCTGAAAAAAACCAAGCACAATTAATTATACGAAAAGAAACCACGAGCATGAATAAGGTAACCAAATCAACTCAATTGTTGCTCATGGTACTACAACCACAACCCTGATCAGAACTGAGCATAGCCAAAGCTGGTAAGGCCAGAACACCTCACAAATAGATATAACAAAAAATGAACAACAAGAACAATAAAATTAAAAAATCAGAAATTAAATGAACAACAAGAACAATAAAATTAAAAATTACATGAACAACATCAAAAAATCAGAAATTATATGAACAAATCAGAAATTATATGAAATTATATGAACAAATCAGAAGTAAAAATCAAAAAATAAAGACATGCAAATCCTGCAAACAACGAATCAGCAACATAAAACCGAAATGAAAACAAAAAAATTAACATAAAATTACCTTTGAGCAGTGACGGCTTGAAGGAGAGGAAGATTTGAAGATGGAGAACTGGAGAATGAAAAAAAAAAACGAGAATGGAGAGATCGAAAAAAAAATCGAAAAAAACGAAACGAAAACAAAAACAATTAACTAAAATTTACCTTTGAGCTATTGAAGGCTAAGAGTTCAGAGCTTGAGAGTTGAGAACTTGAGAATGAGTGAGGATTCAACGCTTCGATTTGAGGATGAAGAAGAAGAACGGTGAATGCTGTGGAATGAAGAGGATGAATGAAGAGGATGAATGAAGAACCTAATTGCCTTTCAGTCTTTCACAGTTTCACGTTTCACTTTTTTTTTTTTTTTTCTCTTTTGCATAATATATGAACCACATGTTTATTTAATTATTAAAGAATCAAAATATCTAAATTCTAAATCTAAAATGTGTTTTTCCTTTTGGTTTTTGGAGGGAAATTTCCCACCATATTTTGTTGAAATTGTCAACCAAAAAAATGAAATTAATTTTCCACTTTGTAAAAATCAAAATTTTTAATTTTATTTTAATAACATTAAACAAACTTTTATACAATTAATTAATTACATGACTTAAAAAAAAACTAATTACATTTCTCGGATCCCGATAAAACGATATTCACCTTCATAATATCAGCTTTTATAATTTTTTTTAACACACACATTAAAATATTAAGTTCTTTAAATTATAAAATGTGAATCGGTTAGCGTGTAATTTCTAGGCGTTGCGATTAATAAAAAATCGAAAATTGTTCAATAAATAATGATGTCATATCTTAGAGAGTTAGAAGTACTACGGATTTGTTATATGGTTATATTTATATCAGTTTAGCTGTACCTATAAGCAATACACTTGTAATCGTGTAAACTTATAAATGATATAGTTGACTAGTAGATTAGTACATAAATACAAATTACTTAATTAGATATGAGTTATGTCTACATGAGTGATTGACTAATATGACTATATGAGCAATTGTCAATTTAGCATAGCTGCATAACAGATTAGCAGCGTACTAGACTATCATACTCGGTAATATACTAATACCATTTCAGTATTTGATCTACTAGACTCAAGTTAAAAGTTACTCTTTCTGATTAACTTGTTAGTCTAATTAAGTAATTACTAATTACTAATTAGTGACTTAAGCCTTAAGGGTAAACCAGTAAAGGATATACAAAAATATAATAATCTTATGTTTCTCATCCCTTTATACTAATAATATCTAACTATGAGAATATGAGATGGTTATATGTTATGTATCTGTATAATCGATTGAAGGAATCAACATTACCTTCTTCTTCATTAATGTTTTCTTTCATTATACAAATCAAACTACTCTGTAATATCTTCATGTATAACTTTATGCAAATATATAATGATAAACGAGTCTTAATTATCAGTCTTGTTGACTAATTAAGTATCGAATACCAAATTGCAAATTTCGATGTCACAACAACTCATCAAATCATGATTATGACACTATTAACTAAATGATCAAATCAGAAGCAGATAATAATCTGATAGTAAAACAATAATACATTAATGCACTAAACTTTTATAATCTACTTCATAATAAACTAGTAAGATCAGTATAGCTAAACTTAAATCATAACATGATATGTATTTATAAAATTAATGAGAATTTGCATATAATATGATGCCTCAATATGAAGTGATGAAGTCTCGGCTTGATATAAAACTTGTTAACTAGCAAAAAGTTAGAAAGTAGTACAAAATTTTTTGAAATCAAAAACAGACTCGAACCGTAATTTAGTAAATCTGAAATAAAACCGATCTAAATAATGTTAAATCGTAGAAGAACCAAACCCGTGAACGAACCGAACCAGTTATAACCGAACTAAAATAAAACTAAACCAAAAAACAACCGAACCGTTTCCAACCTGAAACTGTTTGAACCGGGATAATAACCATTTACACCGAACCGTTAACAAACCGCAACCCGTCTGCACCGAACCGTTTACTACCTGGAATTTTTACAACCCGCACCGTTTACAAACCGAACCGAATTTAAAACGGGTTAAAAACCATTTACACCGAACCGTTAACAAACCGCAACCCGTCTGCACCGAACCGTTTACAACCCGAACCAAATTTAAACCGGGTTAAAAACCGTTTACACCGAACCGTTAACAAACCGCAACCCGTTTGCACCGAACCGTTTACTACCCGGACCGTTTACAACCCGGACCGAATTTAAACCGGGTTAAAAATCGTTTACACCGAACCGTTAACAAACCGCAACCCGTTTGCACCGAATCGTTTACTAACCGAACCGTTTATAACCTGAACCGAATTTAAACCGTTCAAGAATAAACCGAAACCGAACCGAACCGATAATTATTTAAACCGAACCGAAACCGACCCGTAAGACATTTGAACCGATTTCAAACCGACCCGATTTCAAACCGAACCGATTTCAAACCGAACCGAAACCGAACTGTCAAACCGTTTTGACAGTGCTAATCACCTCCTTTTGTTTATGTCGTTTGGAATTATGTACTCTTAATAATAAGAGCAAGTTTAGCCCCAAGTCTTAACACTTAAATATGACATTATTTTTTGTGATCCCCGTTAAAAATGATGTCATTAAATTCTTGATAAAACTCACTAAGACTTACACAAATTTATCACTTTAGCCCTAAGACTTAATTATTTGACATATTATATGTAGAAAAGTGTAAAAAAAAAAAAAAAAAAAAAGGTAATAAAAATAAAAGTGAGGTGGGTCTCAATCTCAAGTCTTAAGTTGAGTCTTGAAATTTCAATACTTTACTTTAGACTTGCTTGAGATTTTTGAAGAAAAATGGGAAAAGTCTTAAGTATAAATCTTAAGACTCAATTTGATGATGACACCCCAAGTTTTAAGACTTAGGGCTAAACTTGCTCTAAGGGCGTGCTCGGTGCTAGCTTTTGAGTAGCTTTTAGGTAGCTTTTGGTGGCTTGACCAAGTCAAACCACTACTCAACAAAAAATGTGAGTGTTTGGCAAAGTAATGGTTCAAGTAGCTTTTAGTGGTGGATAAAGCTTTTATTAAAAGCTAGGATTATTAGCTTTTGAAATTAGAGGTAGCTTTTGAAAATTTAATGTATAGTTTTAAAATAAAATATTGATTCTTAAATGTAACAGCTAGTCAACCACTACTTTATCGAACAATCATACCTAAATTATCTTTTTTTCACAGCTAGCAGCTTGTTGACAGCTAACAGCTATCTCCACTGCTCACAGCTATCTCCACAGCTACAGCTACCTTCACGGCTATATTTTGCCGAACATGCCCTAAATTGTGTAAAATTGTTATATTGACATAAAATCATTGAAAGTACAAATTTAGTGAAAAAAAGGAATATTATACTGAAGTAAAGAAAGTAGAAGAGAATCGAGAGAGAGAGTAATAATGAGTATTGAAAACCCATTAAAGTATCATAAATTGCACATGAAAAATGGAGGGTTATTGAATATTTAAATTGTATAATAAGGGTAACTTTGTCCAAAACTTATGACTTAAAAAGGAAAGATCTTAAATACTACCTCCGTTAATAGTTATGTGCAACTTTTGCCATTTTTGTCCGCTCGGGTTTATGTGCAACTTTCCATTTTGTTTCTATTTTTAGTAAAAAAAAAGCCCTTAATTATATTTGTTTTATTTTTTTAATCAACAACATTATAATATCCTAATCTAATTTAACCTAAACTAATCAGATTCACCTAATCTAATTATTCCCTCCTTTTATCTTCCGATTCCCCTCCTCTCTCTTCATTTACACAACTTCCCAACTACCCAAATTAATTGCTGATGATTCGTGCTCCCTATATGTTCTGGAGAGTTCATAAGATGAACCCTAGTTCATCTTTTGGGTTATTCTCTCTCCTCTGTTCTTCCGATTTTCTCATTTTTTCACTCCAGATCTACTCTCCTCTTCTCCTTTCTTTCTCAATCAGAGTCCCTCCATAAAAATGGTGAACTTAGATCCTCTTAAGGATGCATATATGGCTACGGATGACAAGGGAGAGGAGAATTTGATCCTAAATTTCATGCACTGCTTCGAGGTTGGATCTTCTTTTCCTCGTGAATTTTACGAGTCCAGTGAGACGGGTCCGTACTGTACTCTGTACACTTACAGAGCCCTTGGACAAGTCCTCAAAAGCATCGATGAGGAAGAAAAAGCAAAGAAGGAGGAGGGTGTTGGTGAGTCCCGTCGTAAATCGCTTGATTTCTCTGAGATGGCTGTAGATCTGGTTGCTGAGCAAGGTGAGGGCAGTGCTGTTGTGCCCACTAAGCCTAGATCTAAGAGGGAAAGGCCACCCCCAAGAGTTAAGGCTACCAGGAAGGCCACGCGTGTTGCTCTGAGAAGGATGCGTGGCCTCCCTGACCATGAGTTGATTGTGTTGTCTTTTGATGAGGAGCCTGATGAGGAACCTCCAGCCAAGAAACCATAAGTGCCCTCTTGTTCTGTTCCGATTGTGACGTGCTATGTGAGGCGGATGAACCCTACGGTTCAACCCTCTGAGTAGTTGCACTCGTAACGCTTCCTAACCCTAACTTGTTTAATTTTTGTTATTGAGTCCCATTTTTAATTTGATTGTGTATGCTTGTGACATGAATTGTTTATGTTGGTTATGTTATGCACATATACTCCGTATTTGATTATGTTGTGGTGGCGTTGTTCTGTTGTTCTGTTGTATGTGGTGTTGTTGATTTTGTCCTGCTAATGTTGGATATTTTGATGGACATGGTGTTGCTGATTCTGTCCTGTTAGTGTTGGATATTTTGATGGATATGGTATTGTTGCTTCTGTCCAGTTACTGTTGGATATTTTGATGGATATGGGTTTGGTGCTTCTGTCCTGTTTATGTTGGATATTATGATGGATATGGGTTTGGTGCTTCTGTCCTGTTTATGTTGGATATTATGTTGGATATGGTTTTGGTGCTTCTGTCCTTTTTATGTTGGATATTATGTTGTACATGGTTTTGGTGCTTCTATCCTTTGATTGTTGGATATTATGTTGGATTTTGGTGAGGATTGGGATTTCTTTCTGGTTTGGTTGCCTTCTGTGTTGGATACATTGTTTTTGGGTGTTTGATGGTTTGTTGATGCATTTTATGAGTTGGCTAATGATGCATTTTATGAGTTGGATAATGATTGGTTGATGTTGTAATCATGGCTTATGGCATATGGGAATTTGGTTGTTGAATGATGATCCTTTATGATGGTTTCTTGATTTGGGTGTTTGGGTTGTTGTGTGAAAAATGTTCTCAATGATCATAGTGTAGAGAACATTTTGTAATGGAGTTCCCTTCACATGCCCCTTTTTGTTATTATTGAACAGTCCCCATTGGCTCTACACTATTTGTGTTGTAATTGAATCCAAATGATGAAGGGACTCCTATGAAATACTATTTGAACAAAGGTATAGCTCCACCAATCACTATATTGTGATTGATGTTGAGGTAACTGTTTCGGGGTTTTCTGATGTCCTGCGGGAGAGTTACAATTCCGGGACTGGTATCCTTGCGCCTCTACCTGCAAAACAACGGAGACTCCTTGAGGTGGGAGCTCCGCCTCCAACGGTCAAGTTAGTACTTGTTTGAGGAGTAATAAATGCGGAAAGTAAAGGTGGGAGATCTGGTTCCTCTAGGGGAGGAGTGATCAATGTGTTTAGACTTCTCTAGGTGAGATTCATCAATTGCTGAATCCCCTTTAATGAGGATTAATTAAGTATTTATAGTCTTGAGAAGCGTGCCAATCCTAGGTTTAGGTTAACCAGGGCAAATTGGGCTTCTCTCGGACTTTGGGCCTTGGTGGCCATTTTGCCTATTTGGCATATGGGAGGCCACGTGGCGTGATTAGTCCATGTTGGACCTCTTAGGGTGACAAGTGGCGGACGCTGATTGGCCCACGTGGTGGACACGTGGCAGGTCCGGATTGGTCCATTTGTCATGGGTAATTTTTACCCTAAACAGTAACCATGTTTGAAAGGGTGTGTGTACAAATAAAATGATCTCCTAATGGATTCATGTGATTAAGAACTTCCATTAACATGAAAATATGGCTACAAAAAGCCTGTTACAAATGAACTAGAACTAAACCACCACTGCCTTTCATGTGTGTTTCAATAATCTAGCATACAAAATACACCTAACCACCTATTGATTGGTACCCAAAAATAACTAAACAAAAGTGAAATTTAACATATCATTGTTCACTCCTAAGTGGTTATGTGTGGCAGTGTTTGGTTGTTTGCTGTGTGTCTTTGTTATTAGTCTGCATCTACCTCCATGTCTTCTATTTCTGCTTCATGATTTCCCTGGGTTGCTGGCCTGAACATTGTGTTCAGGTATTCCACAGCTTCCACCACTATACTCCTTTCTACTTCAATCTGATTTGGGAGAATGCCTAAATTCTCCAGCTTTTTCTTATTCATATGTGGGATTTTGTACTTATTCCCTCCTTCTGCCTTTAGAATCTTGATCATGCATCTTTGTAATGTCACCCAAATGTACTTGTTTACTTCTGGTTTGAAATTGTTATAAGACTCAATGACCTTTTCAACAAGTTCATCTACATTCTTTGGAAAAGATTGATATTGCAAAGATTGAATAGATCTAAACAGACCTAAGTCTAACACATTCAAATCTGGTGATTGTGCTGGTTGGAACACAAACTCAATATTAAATCCATTTGCTTGTGTTGCTACAATGAACTCTTCATCTCTTGGTATTTGATGTGGCCTTGCATTGTCCCATTGAATCACCACATTTTTGGGCAAACTTGCTGGCCATTTTGACACTATTGATGGTATGACTTTGTTAAGTAGCATGTCCCTTATTGCATCTCTGTTGACATTTTGAAGTGCTTTTGTGACCAATGTGCCAGCTGGTTTGTTTTTGCTTGACTTCTTTGCCCTTTCTTGCTGTGTGAATGGGAATATCCCATATTTTCCATCATGTAGGAGTTCCCCATGTGTCCCATAAAGAGGCTTCCCTATAATGGCCATGAACATAGCTTTTAATTTGAACCTCCTTGATTGTTGAGCCATATAGGGATCTTCTCACTTGGTAGCAGATAAAATCTTCTTTTATCTGGGTTTAGATAAAACCATTTCTCATCAATGTGGATGGAATACTTCATGTCATCAAATGTGGGGTTCTCATTCCCTTGGATTGGGTTTATGTGAGACAAAACCCACTTCATTCTTGCCACCTTGTGATCTGATGTTAGTGCTGGCTTACTGCTTGCTGTGTGTGTTCTGATTCTCCCTTTTTTCTTCAAATAATGAAGAGTAACATGTGAAATGTTGAGTGCTGCAGCATATGATCTTTCTGTCTGCCTTAAGTGCAGTGGGACTGACTGTAGGAATTCATCAGAAAGTTCCATTGGCTTTGGACCTGTCCTACCTATCTTTTTGGACCTGACATCAATCAAATTCCCTTCTGCCATCTGCCTTTTTATTTCATTGAAAAGTCTTGTGATTGTTGATTTATGAACCTTGAACATGATTGATAATTCTACCTTGTAGCCTCTTGGTAGGTTACCATCTTGCATTTTCAATAGCATTGCATCCACAATCTCTCTCTTTTGATGCATGTTAAGCTGTTTTCTGTTTGGTTGGTGAGTCCCTTCTTTAAACAATGATGCTTGTGTTTCATCTTGCTGAGTTTGATTGTTGTTGTTAATTGTTGTGTCTTCTATTTCCGCCTCTTTTTTCATGTTCTCATTGTCTGAGTTGTATGCTTCAAAATCTGCATCTTGCATCTGCTCTTCATAATCGTAGTACATTTCTGCAATTTCTTCCTCTGAAATTAAGTGTTCAATGTCGAAAAAAGGGTCTTCATCTATTGCTGCCATGTCTTTTGTTTCTTTTGTTCACTTGTAGATTGTTGTAGATGGTGAAGGGGGGTGGGCTGATGAAGGTTTTTGATGAGATGATGCTGCCCTCAAGCTGACGCCTTGATGATTTGATGACTAACTTCAGTTTAGCACTAATTTTAGATTAGGAGTAATTTTTTGGGTTGTTTATGGGCTAAACGTATGTAATTAGTGCTAACTTTTGGTGAATTTCAGCTAGCTTTTGAACAAACATTGTTATGTAATTATTGAGAAGCATTCAATGCTTCATGAATGATGGAGGCTGCTATTTATAAGCCTCATAAATGTTGTAATGAAATCAGAAAACTTGGTTTTTAACCTTTTTTTTTTTTAAAGTTAGAGGGAATTTTAAATTTCCCAAATTCAAAATTTTTGTGAAAATTTGGGGGGGGGGGGGAAACAAACCCCTCCAAAAAAATCAGATTTCCCCTCCATATTTGCAAGTGGGGGGGACTAGCTTTATCTCTCCACTCACTTTAATTAACTCTCTTAAATCCCTCTAATCTTTGCCCTCCATCTTTTGCCTTGGTAAACGTAATCATGTGCAAAGTTGCACATAACAAAAGGAACACCCTAAATAAAAACCTAAAGAACATATAGAAAGATTACTATATTATACAAGATTGTTATATGATACAAGATGAATCCTGTACGATGCAGAGTTTAAATTCTGTAAAACAAATAATTTGTGCTTATGTGCTAAAATTTGTTGTATACTCCCTTCATTTTTAAATACTTGTTCCACTTTTCAATTCTGGCCGTTTTTAAATACTTACTCCATTTCCTTATTTGGAAAGCTTTTACAATATTTAATTCATTTCTCTCACCTAATGAACCCAACATAAATCATATTTTATTCATGTCATATTCTCTCTCATCCAATTCTTTCAACTAATTTTACTTTGGAAAAATGAAAACTAAAAATTCAACCTTTGCGCGGTCTGACAATAAAAATCCAACCTTCCATTAATTTCAAAAAAATCCAACCTTTATACCTCACCTTCTTTGACAGGTCCATCGCCTGTTGATGACCGTTTTTTGTAAGTTATATGTGACGTGTCAGCTACTAATAGGTCAATTATTTTTTTATTATTGAAAAATTAAAACAAAAAATAAAAAACAAAAAAATTCAGAAACTCTTTTTCCACCACCACCACCACCTTCCCCTGCCACCACTACCACCTTCCCCTGCCACCACTCCCTCCCCCTCCCTCCCCTGCGCGCAACCTCCCCTCCCTCTCCGGCGTGCAACTCCCCTTCCCCTGCGCGCATCGCTAGCCACCCATCTCACCCCCACCGTCAATTACACTAATTTTACCTTCAAAGCAGAGCAACCGAGCAACTATTGCTTCCTGAGCAAACCATAAACAACAACCTCCTCGTTTTCTCTCTCTTCATCACCATCACCAACCCTCAACGCCAATTTCAAATCCCTAACCCCTTTTGCCGCTTCAACAAAATCCCCATTTCTCATCAACTCCTTAACACTCCCCAAATTCCCACTTAACTTTACAATCGATGATGTCTTCTTGGTGGCTTCCAATTCAGAAACCCCATATTGAATCTCCTTCAAAATCGTGGGAGAGGAGAGAGAGGAGGAAGTGGAGATTAGAGGAGAGAGAAAGGGAATCGGAGAAAGTGGAGGAGGAGAGAGAAAGGAGGTCGGCAAAGTGGGTGTGATGAGAGAGAATGTAGGATTGAACTTTGGATTTGATGTGCTGTGAATGGGCGTCGAGATGGTGGCTTAGGAGGCGGAGGTCTGGCGCTGAGAGGGTGGAGTAAGTGGTGGCAGAGGTGGTGGTGGTGTAGAGAGGAGATAGAAAGAAGAGGAGTGAGAAGGAAATAAAAAATAAATAAAAAACAAAACTTTTTAACCGGTTTAACAGGTTAAAGGTTAAATGGACCTGTCAAAGAAGGTGGGGTATAAAAATTAGATTTTTTTGAGATTAATGGAAGGTTGGATTTTTATTGTCAGACCGCGCAAATGTTTGATTTTTAATTTCCATTTTTCCTTTTACTGTTTATAATTTTGTATTCTTTAACCGACCCCAATACCTCCATAATTTATTAATTTCTCCAATTTCTCCTAAAACTCCGCGCATAGAGAAATGGAGCAAATATTTAAAAACGGATGGAGTATTCAGATAAAATTCCTAATATCAAATGATAATATTTTATATTTAATTAATTTAAACTTAAAAGTTTCATTTACCAATTTTGCTTACGTGACATTTGAATTATTGAATTCTAAAATAAATTACTAATCTCTCATTTAATTGTCTACAACTAAAATTTATAATGCTACATGGTGCGTTAAGAAAATCAAAATCCTGCGTGGCGCTCTAAAAATCGGGAAAAACTTATGTTATTCAAATTTTCTACTCCTGGATTAATAATCATTGGGTAGTTCATGGAAATGACGCAAACATCATAGTCAAAGCAATTCGAGATAATCAATTTGGTCTTGTACCTATTTTCATGTAATTTAATGATATTTCTATGATAAGCTTTTAAATTACCTTTAAAAACAAATTCCATTATATAAAAATACTCTGTAACAGACTTATAAGCTATTTACTGAAATTCTTAATTTAATTTGTACACACGAATATTATTGGTGCATGAGCCCTCGTGACTTGTGAACTTGCTTAATGATTTTTAAGTATGTAGTATAGCTTGTACAATTGTATAGACTTTAATATAATCTTGTAAAAAAATGAAGACATTCTTAGTAACCTCAAATTTGCTAATGTGGCATTGTGTTACTAATTTCTTGCATGAGTTACGTAAAAATTGGTTTGATAAGAAAACTATTACCACAAAAAAAATTAAAAAATTAAAAATTAAAAATAATAACAATAATTATAATTAAAAAAAAAAAACTATTCACTAATTTCTTAATTTCACCTGGAGAAATATTGAACTTCTATACATCAACAATTGATTTGAAGTCATTAACAACTTCACCAAGTTCGTTGTTGTATATACAGTAGTAAGTATCTGGACCCATCATTCGGGTGATCCAAGTTCGATCAATCCCCAGCCACATAATAGTAATAAAACTGTTTATTGAATATTATTTATAGGATATTTTTTTAAAAGTTATATTTTGTTTTATTCCTATTGAAATTAGAAATCCTATTGGAAATAAAACTCTTTTTTTTTAACTTTTTTTTTTAAAAAAAAAAGTTATATTAAATTTGCTTATCTAGCATGAGAGGTGTTATTGTATGATGTGATAATTGCTTACATGGCGTGACACTTGGCAGAAAATTGAAACGACAAGTATCACTACCTCATGCCCTACCTAAAGCTTTAGCTATATATATAAGTTATACGATATATTAGATTATAGGACCCCCTCAAAAAAAATTATATTTTAGGTAAATTATCAATAGTACACTCCACATTTTGACTTTTGTCTTTGATACACCTCTTTAAGTTTTCATTATCAACGGTACACTCATAATTATCACTTAATTCCTACTGTTTTGGGTAAAATTACCTAGGCCAAGTGGCCCTATTAGAAGGTGACACGTGTCACCCTAGGAAAGGTTCCAAGTGGACCTATCTCCCTTTGACATGTGTCCCTCCCAAACCCCAGTCATTCGGAAAAAATCGGCCTTCATGGCCCAAAATCCCGAGAAACCTGCAAAACGACATAGCCCATCAGTCCTAGGTTTTCGTAAACTAGGCAAGGGCATAAATCCCGATGACCCTACAAATATGGAGATTCCCCCCCATTTCTAGGGCACGTTCATTTATTACAACCAACTAACTCTGTTAAGATCTCACTTTTACCTTTTTTCGCACCTTTTTACATTCTCCGTACGCATTCTACCTTGATCGTCAGAGGTAGAACTCCAACCACCCGGAGTCTCCGTTGTTTGCAAGTACATACAACAGGATTCCAGTCTTGGTGATGTAACTCTCCCGAGGGACACCGAAAACCCCGAAACATTTGGCGCCGTCTGTGGGGAGAGTACCTCTAAGATGGTTTTAGAGTCTGTACCGCCTCTTGAACCCAACCAGCCTACGATCGTGATATGAATGGTAACCTTCGAACAAGTGTATTATTCCGATAGAGTTCAGAATTATTAGAAAGCTAAATATACAGTGAGGTCAAGTGATCGGAATGCCTAGATGGAGGCCGATTCCGATCAGTAATATTAATGAGTAATTAATATTATAGCATAATCTTGACTGAACCCTTCGGGTCACACCTAAGAAACAGACGAACCGACACGACGAATTAATTCAAAAGGAATTAATGAGTTGTTCGAGTAATTAATATTTAGACGTTGGAAATTTGAGCTAGGAGTGTCGAAACCGAGTGTCGGAAGTCGAGTCGAAATAATAAAAGACGAGATGGTAAACTCACTAATTAATCAACAATTTACCAAAATACCCCTAGCATCGAAATTCCATGAGCAAACCGAAGCCTAGAGGCATTTGATATAGCCAAGGTAGCTAGCAAGCGCACCAAGGCTAGCATGGCACACTCATAGATGCACCTGCTATGGTGTGCCAAGCAAGATAGCAAGGCACGCACATAGCAGCAGCTATGGCGCGCCATGGTGCTAGCTGTGTTGCGGGGAAGGTGCGGGGCAGCAGCTAGCTATGTGTGCTGGCAGGGGCATAGTAGCACTCCCAGGCCAGCAACCTACACTTGTGTGCGTGGCTTGCTGGGTTGAGGCAACAACTGCATGCCACGCTACCATATCATGCCAAGGCCAGCAGCTAGCTAAGCCGAGGCAGCAGCCCACCCCGGGCTATTTTGGTGCCCAAGTGAGGGTGCCACGTGGCAACACCTCATTAGTGCCTTATTTGGTATAGGTGGGTGGTTATGGGAATGCTTGGGGATCAAGTTTGGTCCCCTCCCTTCCTTGTGGTCCTTACCTAACCCTTCCCCTAAATGTGCCACTTGTTGATTTATTTGTTGTTGGATATTTAATTTTATATTTGATTTAAAAAAAAGG